AATGTTCCTAGGATATGGAAAGGCTTCCATTCCTTGAATTTCCACCAACGATGTTTTCACTCCCCTTTTAGTCAGAGAATTCATTGTAGTAATAAATACAATAAAAAGGCATACATAATTAATGGATTCTTTATTGTGTATAATTAAAAGGATATTTTACTATAAACGAAGCATGATAGATTCACAGGGGGATAAAAGAAGCATGAGTCTTGATGAAAAAGGGGGAAAAAAATCACCATAGATAAAAATCATTATAATCAAGCCATATCCATACTATTCACGCCTATCATCGTCACTATACTTGTGACCAAATATAAATAAAACCATAATTTTCGAAAACCATTAAAAAATGAAGATTAAATAAGTAACACATTCTTCGACCTAATTGGAACTGCTTAGAACAAAAGCGGATTAAAATCTCCCCCGATGAAATTCATTTGCAATTTCATAGGTAGTCCCCTACTTCCACTTCTATAAATTTGAGAAAACATTACAAGTTCATCAATAGTCCCCACTCGTGGGCCAATTTCAATTGCAAGCAAATTTGCACCCTTGCAATAGCTTCTCACATCATAGCAAGTGTAGGATGCAATTGCACCTCCTCGCTTAGGGATGACCATTACTGCATCTCGACACCTGTCTTAGGGAAAATAGCCATGGCAAATTCACAAAATACTGCATGCATAGAAAAATATTTGTCTGGATAATTAAAAAAATGGGAGACTTTCCTAGTCAGATGATGTACTGGCTCCCCTCAGTACCTGACAGTTTTGAGTGCTGGAGAAAAAGACTGGAAAAAAAACCCAACAAAGCCTGAGTAAACTTATTAACAAAAGACATCCAATGCTGGCCCCTTTGCTGCTCCAACGCTCCACCCCGCCCTGCATCAATCGACTCTCATGTAAGCTGAGGACGTTTGCTTGAGGATGCCTCAGGGGTCTCTTCATGCTCCGTATGCCGAAGGTCAATAAAAGTATTGGTCAATTCGACGATACGGTAGACTGGCAAATAGGCGCACTGGTCCTCCTTAGCATAAACCCCCATATCCATCCCAACCCTTTCAAGAAAGGTGGTCAAGAAGGTGGCATATGGAAAGGCAGTGTACCAGTTTTCCCCTCTAGGAGCAGCCTCAACCATGTTCAGGCACATGAGAGATGCGAGGTTAACAGGAACACCTCTTTGAGCTTGCACAAGGATAAACAGGTCAAGTTTACGAATAATTGAATGACCACGGTACCTTGGCATGAAGCAGTTGACGATCATCCCGTGGAGGAATCGAAGAGGATCTGGGAGGAAAGAAGCCTGGATGCGCCCCTTCGTCAGTTTCGCCAGTTCAACTTCAAACTCAAAATCGTACAGCCGCCCAAGATCGCTTCTGCTATCAATGGGGTGTCCTGCGGCGGGGAGATCGAGGATCTCAGCAAACTGATGAGGCTGGAAGCAGACTCTATGACCCAGGAAGATCGACACGAGATGAGAATCGCAGGGACCAGACAGCTCTAAATTGTGGTAGAACTTCCTCACCGCATGCGGGCAGTAACTGGTGCTTACTCTACTCCGGAGATCAAAGAACTTTTCCCAGCTAAGATTTTTAATTAACTTCTTCACTTCTTCAGGGAAAGGACTCAGGTGGATGAACTCGTACTCGGCCACAATTGATGTCTTGCTTGTGAATGAAAGATAGTCCCCGAGACTTGCGGTGGATCGGCAGTCTTCGTTTGAAAGAGATAGTATCCCCATTTGCGCAAAAGATTTACCTTTGTTTGCCATGGAGTCGGAGGAAGAAGGAAGAAGGAACAAGGGAAGGTGAAGATGGAGGAAAGAGAGAATGTAGGTGTAAGAAAAAGTGATCGTGGGGGTTGAGTGTGGAGACGTGAGTGTGATGGAGACGGTTGAGTCTGGAATTTCAAGAGTTAGAAGATTTCGGAAGATATGTAGTAATGATGATGTTAACTCGTGTATTTTAAACTAGGGTAAGTAAAGCTAGTTAAACTAGGGTTGGCGCACAAATCGATACTGCAGGAGAAAACAAATGGGCTCGCACGTTCCAGGCCCACTTTTGAATATTGCATGGGTCATGTACAAGCCCACGTTTGAATGTTATTTAAAAGCCTGCAAAAATCAATGATCAGACCTAGTCCAACTAGAATTACTCCTAAACGCACCGTTAATACATAAACACAAACTAAGGAGACCTGTCCATCCGATTCGAATCAAATTATGTGTTCTTCATCTTCTTCCTCAATCCTCTGGGCGAGACGAACACTACATATCAGGAAACCTAAATTTCACCGAGAGATATAAGGTTCGATAAAATCACAATAACGCTAAGACAAGATGACACAGCACTAGCGACATGAACCGTATGGTTAGCAAACCTCTTTCAAGGGTTCTTTTGCAAATGAAAAGTTTGATGAACACAATAATAGACACGGTCGCCGTAATCGTGTTAGAAAGAGATAGGCGAGGGGAAATAAAATGGCGAAGAAGAAACAAGACAAAATAAATTGGGAAATTCAATCTACGTCGAATGTGGATGCAAGTAATTGGGATTCAAAAAGATGATTAAGTTGGGGAGTTCAAATTGGATGGGGAGCTTCTCTTGGAACTGTGAAGGGGCGTCCCTCCAAGACGAGAGAGGGATCGTGTAATTGGTTAGGGAGACTGGAAATTGGTTAGGGCGGCAGTGGGTCTACCCAATTGGGTTTGCAGTCTTAATCAATTTATTTTAATCGGGTCAGTTAGTTGGACTAGGATGAAAAAAAACTTAACGCGGCAGGAGCCTTTTTGTAATTTGTTTAGTTATTTAGTGCGCATGAAGGTTAACAAACGTGAACCGTGGAGATTGAAAACGAAGGGTTAAGATCGGCCAAGATACCCGTACCCGGATTTTGCCCTGGGCAACGTAGAAGTCATCATATATATATATATTGAAGTGTAGAGGATTTCCACAAGGGATGTTCTATATATGTAATCCTTATCAGAGTGACGTAGCGGAAACAAGATAAACCCATAACCCACAGGTCCATGGATCTATCATAAGTCATAACAGTAAATTTGAGAATAATAAGAGAGGAATTGTTCTCGTTACTTTCTTTCCACAAATGTAGGATAGGTTTTAATTTTTATACAAGAGTTGGCTTTGATATGATCATAAGCAAGTAAAGTATGAAAGTTAAGAGATGTAAGCTCCTTGAATAGCTAGTCAAGATTCAAGTGACCCATTATCACATAAAAGGGTGTTTTGTGGTTAATTACCACCATAGCAAAGACAAGTGACGCAATGGATAATATTGATACATAAAAGATAACGATAGTGACAAATGATGTTGATAAATTATTCATCAATATATTAAAAAATAATAATGCAAAAATACAAATGAGTATTTCGTAGAATCCATCTTAACAGTAATTTGATAGTGATGATCAAAACCCTAAAGACTGTTTGACATTCACTCTCTCGATTTGTTTTCTATAAACTACCACATCTTATCTGATTGTGCCTAAATTTTTCTTCAGAGTTCAAGTACTTGAAGAACTCTTCGATTGTTGTAGGTTACCGCCCCTTCCCAAGCGAAACGCCCAACCGGCCGAACAAGGCTTCATACTCATTCTCAAATCTATTTCTCTCTTCCATTTTGAAATTATGACCCTAATCATCACATCAATCCACTCCACGGTCTCTCCTCTCCTTACATTACCTCTTAGCTATAGACTTTCCTTCCTAACAATAAAGTAATCGCGAATAAAACCTAAATTGGTCTCTTGTTCTTACATCTTATCTACAATGTAAAACCATCAATCTCAAATACAAATTTTCCTTTTTCTTGGTCTAGGTCTCTTGTTCTTACATCTTATCTACAATGTAAACACCACCAATCTCAAATACAAATTTTCCTTTTTCTTAGTCTTTAGCCTCTCCCTTTGGTTAAAGGGCTGGCCGAAAGAGAACACAAAATTTCCTCTTCACTTTCATTGGTAGCAAACAAAGGATAGTAATGTTTTGTTAAATTATATATCAGCAAACGGTCCCGTAGCTCAGTTGGTTAGAGCGTTGGTCTTATGAGCCGAAGGTCGCGGGTTCGAGCCCCGCCGGGACCATTAATTTTTTCATTTTTTTTTTAATCCTGTTTACGTTACTTCCGCGGGCTCAGGGCCCAGTGGGCTTACCATTTAAAACTCTTCATGTTTGTTTTTGCCTGTTTACGCTACTCCCGAGGGCTCAGGGCCCGTTGGGCTTTCTGTTACATTCCGAACAGAAGAAATCCGACGGCCTACAAATTAATTATACTTTATTCACTAAACATAACCTACTAGCATGATTATCCACCTAATTAAACCAACAACCCCCATATGCAGCTAGCTCAATATTCTAATTATCAATGTATTATACTACGCAATTACATTATCCTTTGGATTAGAGATTCCTTGCCATTTAGTAGATAATCGGAAGGTGCAAGGAAATCAGCTGCAACTGCTTTTGGTGGTTGTGTATTTTGGAAATCAGCTACAAATAAAAATAGTGATTCTTCTTAATATCTATTATAATCCGTTATTTATCAAAATTTGGTAGAAAAAAACAAATAGGATTTGTCTATATTTTCCGATTTGGAAATAACGAAAGCCATTTTGAAACATGCATAAGAAATTAGATTCATTCGCTGAATCAAATGTTATAGGTTTGTACACACACTTTTCCGTTACAATTTTTTCTTCCAAGTTTTAAAAAAATTTCAGCCAAAAAATAATAGTAATGAAGCAATGATCAATGAGGTAGGTGGTGCAGGAGACTACTAATCACCAATAATTGTCAGTGGTTATGATGTCACTGTTTAAGCTATTTAATATATGAGGGAGAAGAAATTAGATAAAAGAATACCCATCATAATCTCATTCCACCCTGCATGACCTCCTTAATTAACAATTTGCTTCCTAATCCTTCTTTCCTTCATTGTTAAACACTTAAAATAAAATAAAATAAAATCTCCCCATTTTAACGTGTTATGGACTATGCTAAGAAAAGGAAAACAAAAACCAAAAGAGAATAATGGGAAGATTTGGGAAGAAATATAAACAAATAAAAAGGAAAATTGGTGGAAGGGAGCTGGTTATGCCAATTTGTCATTTCTCCTGAACCAGACCCAACAACCTTTCTCAATTCTCACCCTTTTTTTTTTTAATTTATGCAATGATTTCATTTCGCTTTGGAGATATTTAAAAGTTGAATTTCCCCTGTAAAGTCCGAGACTTTCCTTCCCCTCTACTGCAACTACTATAGTGGTGTGAAGTCTTGTTCTTCATCCTTCCCTCTAAATCTGGACATTTTTGGGTTTCTTTCATTTTCCCTCAAAAGTTTGAGTAGGAGAAGAGCGTACCATTTTTTTGCTGCCACTGGTAATGTGTGCTTTCTCATTTTGCTGTTCTTTCCCGCGATGAAACTGAAATTTCCTTCCTTTATCTCGCTTGTAATGATTTGGTAGTTGCTGAGATCCTTGCATTGAGTTTGATTGGGGATTCGTATTTTGTTGTTGAAATGGCCCCTGTTGGATTTGCTGTTGAAGAAGGAAAGTAGAAAGAATAGAATTGGTGAATGTGTGAACTTCATTATGCTGTTATTCTGACTAGGGTTAGCTATTTTTCCAGGTTTATGTTGAGCTGGGTGGCTCATCAAACGTACAGCAGGAATGGGTTCTGGGAATTGGATTAAGACAGTGATTAGTTTGAGGAAGGGGAAGAAAGGCCATTTGAAGCAGTTAAAGGTAAATCTCATTTCCCTACACTTGAATTCATTGCACCTGCTTACATGGAAGATAGAACGAACCAAATGACACACAAGCAATGATTCTCTGTTCAGGGTTCTTCATCACCGTCTGCGAAATCGAATGGCTTCAAATCGAAGAATCTGCAGAACAAAGATTTGACTACTTTTGCAAATGGGCATGGGAATGAAGAATTGGCTGCTACTCGAATTCAAACTGCATTCCGTGCATATAAAGCATGTTCACTCTTGATCTTTAGATGGTGCCATTAGTTGAACACTTGCACATGCTGGTGTGCATTGGGTAATAATAGTCGTTTCGTGTTTTTTGTTCCTCGTCGATACAGGCCAGGAAAGCCTTACGCCGCCTAAGAGGGACTGTGAAATTACAGACCCGAACCAAGCATCAGTCCATTGTGAAGCAAGCTACTTCCACATTGAACCACCTTCATCTGTGGAGCAGCCTGCAGACCCAGATTAGAACTCGCCGCCTGTATATGGTCACCGAAGGTCGTTCGAGGCAGAAGAAGTTGGAGAATCAACTTAAACTCGAGGCAAAACTTCATGGCCTAGGGGTAAGAAGCATCCAAGTGTTTTCCCCCCTTAATCGTTTCACGAAAATCCACAATACAAGTCTTGTTTCTTAATAGTTAATGTTCGATATGGATGGTAGGTGGAGTGGAACAGTGGGTGTGATACAATGGAGGAGATTCTTGCAAGAGTACATCAGAGGGAAGAAGCAGCAGTGAAGAGGGAAAGAGCAATGGCATATGCCTTCTCTCACCAGGTAAATGAAAAAACTCTTATGGCAGCATGTCCTTATTGCATTGAAACTGATCCTCTAAGTTTGTGAGAAAAGTTACATTACTTAACTTGTTAAAAACCGACCTATGAAATTTGCAGTGGAGGGCAAACTGTAGCCAGAGCCTTGGTAGCTATGAAGTTGGCAAGTCCAACTGGGGATGGAGCTGGACTGACCGCTGGATCGCTGCTCGTCCTTGGGAGAGCCGTGTCCCTGTGAAGTCCATTACACCAAAGAAAGCTCAGAACAGCAAGCAGGCTAACAAGGCTAGTAAGACAGCAACTTCACCTGCTGCGAAAACGCCAACAACAGCCTCCAAACCACCAGTGTCCAATGGAGGTATAAAAGCCAGGAGATTAACTTACCCGGTTACTGGAAAACAAGCTACAACACTCCATGGAAGCAGGAAAGGTGGAATTGGAGAGGGTAAGAAGGAGCAGCTGGTACTGGCATCTTAGTGTGTTCTTGTTCTGGTCTCTTTCATTTAATTTTGTGATTATGAGTTTATGAGTGGTGTGGTATTCTTCTGCTTGTGGATGCGCGGTATATAACTGAGAAAGCCTTGAGAGTTTATTTGGTTCTATCTTCTTTTCTTCTTCCTATACACCATGTGAAAAACAAGGGCTCACTTTGTATTTATAAATTTTATATACACTGTAAATAGATGATAACATTTTGTGTTGGAGGATGCAATGTTAACTCATTATTGCAGAGCTCAATGCAACTTTGGTTCTTAGTTAATCTTCACTTACTGAACACTTTTGGGTTCTTAGGATGAAAATGGTTATATATTAGCTTAATGGAAAACTTTGAAACAGCCGCCTATGGGGTCGTTTGGAAGTTGCGATTGTTTTATTGAGATTGTCATTATGTATGTATTGTTTACAATGCATCGTTTTTTTGTTTTTGTAACAGAAACAATACATGGATTGTTTCTGTGATGTGACAGAAACTATCACTCATTTTGAGTGATTGTTATATCTCAACTTTTAGTTGTGATTGTTGAGATAGTTGAGTTGAAATTGTTTTGTCTCAGTTTTTAGCTGATGCGACATACACAATCACACATACCAAATGTTGTATTCTACAATGCATCAAATTCGACAATATATGTATAATATTATTATACATGCATTCTCAACAATATATCTATTTAACAATAGCAAAACCACCCTACAATTACTAATCTAATCGCAATCGATCAATCCCAGAAAAATGGTTTTGTTCTTTAGTGCCCTCCCAGTTCAAGCTTTATAAAAGGAGGCACCAGAATTCCAAGGTTGAAAACTGAGAATTCAATTCATCCTTCCCATAACGGCGGCGCCATTTCCCGGTGTCCATGGGCGCTTCCGGATCGAACCGGCTGCTGGCTCTGGCCCAACAGCTCCGCCTCTACGAGCCGCCAGCTGCATCGTCCGACGAAATCTAGGAGCAAGCCATGGAGGAAACTGCCGGCAAGGTGATTGCCCAGGTGGGTTTTCAAGAGTCGGCTACCCCGATTGCGAATCGACCCGATAGGTTCAGACCCAAAAGAGCGGCGGTTCTGGTCTGCATCTTTGAAGGCGATTCCGGCGAGCTTCGTGTCATCTTGACCAAGCGGTCCACGAGATTGTCCACTCACTCTGGTAAGTTCAACTTCAAGTTGTCTACTCGCTTTGTGCTCTCTGGCACATGATGGAGAGAGGGGGAAAATTCGATTTCTTGATTGGTTTGTCTGGCTTTTTTCGACATTGGTGGTTTCAGCCCTTAAAATGCAGATCTTTGCTGTAACTTGAGGTCTCCTATGCCCAATTGTTCTACTATTCCGTTTTCCCAGTCAAGAACTGTTTAGAATTCCTGATTTTCATGGTTACATCAGAAAGAATCCAAGGTTAAGGTTCTCGTCTTTATTGCAAGCTGCAAGAACTCTAAGGCAGCCTGGCTGGTCTAGTGCCTTTCCGCCATAGCCAGGAATCAGAGGGAGACTTAGGCAGAGGTGGGAGCAAAACAGCCTTCCTGCAGAGACCGAATGGCCACCCTTGGCAGTGGCAGAGCTCCTGCAATATCGAAACCCGCCTGTGAAAACTTGGGAACTCTACCTGACTCAAGCTCGAACACCTCGACAACAAGTTTGTCTTCATTGAGAAGAAATCTTCGCCCCCCTTGCTCAACCCGCTTGAACAACACGAAAGACAGCTCCCAACGGAGAAGAAATCTTCATCCTTTTCAACTTCTCCATCCTTCTGCTTCTCAGGACTAAAGAGCAGTTCCCCTGAAAAGCTATCTGTGATCACAAACACCTTCTGCTTCGACTTCTCCATGGCTCTGCTCCTGATTGCTGACACGACAACCTAAAAAAAGAAACAATATAGTTATTTTCATAAAGACAAAAACAAATTCATGCGTGTTGTTTTTTGTATGCCTGTACAGGAAAATTAGAACGGTTTGAAGAGTGGAAAGTACTTCGTGTTCATCAACATCTTCGAGTTCAGTTGTCGTGTGGGGAACATAATCCTCATCCTGCTGCTGCTGGAGAGAGCTTATATGGCCGCCGCAAGATCGACAGATGGAGAAGGCATCTTTGAGAGTTGAAACCAGGAGGAACTTGTATTTCTTTGATGGGTTTGGTGGGGGTGGCTCTTCCTGATAGAACACACCCATTTTGATTCAGAGAAAGGAATTAGACAGTACACAAAAAGCTAAAACTTTGGTGGGGAAACTAATGCTTAACTTGGCTATAAAGGAGAAAGGAAGAAAGGGAGGAAGAGCAAGCACCATGGAATGTGGGGAAGGGTAAAAGTCTCAATCTTGAGTTGATGTCCAAATTGACCTCAAAGTTTGATGGTGGCTTTGCAGCTGCTCACCTCAAAGATAGTGCTAAGAGTGTTCTTGTTGTTGGCTTAAGGGTAAAGATAAAGTTTTTAAGGGCACAAATCAGAAATTACCCACTTGAGACAAGGTGCTTATTTCGTCACTTTGAATCCCCCACTTTGAAGATGAAGCCTTGTTGTGGTGAAAAGGAGACAAGACATTACACCAAACTGTGTGTGATTGGTTTTCCTTTTCTTCCATTGCACCCTCCTTTTTTAAGTCGTTCATTACTGGAAAAATGATAACTGCCCATGAACAATCAATGTGAAAAAGAAACCTAAAAATTAACTGGGGGAGATGGAGATTGTGATGGTGCTGGTTCTGTAGCTCTAATTCTAAATATTATGTTAATACAGTCGGCAAATGCATAGTTTTAACTTATTTATAATCTTTAATGCATGCAATTAAATTTGAATATCCTGTTAAATGAGGTAGGCATAAGCAATTAACCACCATATTTATCACAATTCAAAAGTGAAATCCGTCCTCAAAAGTAAATAGGTTTGATCTCTTCCGGCATGATCTTATTGCCAGGACAAGACCATTTTTGGAGCAAACAAAAAAAGAATAGGTAGGGATTTGGCAACACACCTTCCCTTCCTATGCCTTAAGAACAGAACCAACCATTACTACTCATAACTGTACATGGGTGCTGGGCCGTGCTTGGGCCGGCATGGCACGAGCACGCTTCAGGCCCATTTATTCGTGTTGTGCTTGATACGGCCCATCATTTTTCGTGTCGTGTCGTGAAAGCCCATTTGTTAACTTTGCTAGGCCCGGCTCAGGCCCGAGCACGGTTGGAATCGTGTCGTGCCTATTCGTGCTCGCGCCGTGCTCGTATTCGTGTCTATTGAAAAGGAAGAAAATAAAAGAGAGAATGAAAAAGAAGGTGAAAATTAGATGAAGAAATATAGTATTAACCGAGAATGTTTGAGAAAAGTAACAAATAAGGGGGGAAAAAGAAAATTGGAAGTATATCGAGTGTGATTTGGCTTTGTTTAATTCTTCATCCATTTTTACTCATGATAGTAATTACTAATTACGTGTATGTATCTGTGAAGAAAGTTACATTATTACTTAACTTGTAAACAACCCACCTATGAAATTTGCAGTGGAGGGCAAACTGTAGAGCCTTGGTAGCTATGAAGTTGGCAGGTCCAACTGGGGATGGAGCTGGACTGACCGCTGGATTGCTGCTCGTCCTTGGGTCCCTGTGAAGTCCATTACACCAAAGAAAGCTCAGAGCAACAAGCAGGCTAACAAGGCGGCTAGTAAGACTGCAACTTCACCTGCTGCGAAAATGTCAACAACAGCCTCCAAACCACCAGTGTCCAATGGAGGTATAAAAGCCAGGAGATTAACTTACCCCGTTACTGGAAAACAAGCTACAACACTCCATGGAAGCAGGAAAGGTGGAATTGGAGAGGCTAAGAAGGTGCAGCTGGTAGTGGCATCTTAGTGTGTTCTTGTTCTGGTCTCTTTCATTTAATTTTGTGATTATGAGTTTATGAGTGGTGTGGTATTCTTCTGCTTGTGGATGCACGGTATATAACTGAGAAAGCAGCTTGAGAGTTTATTTGGTTCTATCTTCTTTTCTTCTTCCTATACACCATGTGAAAAACAAGGGCTCACTTTGTATTTATAAATTTTATATACACTGTAAATAGATGATAACATTTTGTGTTGGAGGATAAAATGTTAACTCATTATTGCAGAGCTCAATGCAACTTTGGTTCTTAGTTAATCTTCACTTACTGAACAATTTTTGGTTTCTTAGGATGAAAATGGTTATATATTAGCTTTATGGAAAACATTGAAACAGCCGCCTACAATTACTAATCAAATCGCAATCGATAAATCCCAGAAAAATGGTTTTGTTCTTCAGTGCCCTCCCAGTTCAAGCTTTATAAAGGGAGGCACCAGAATTCCAAGGTTGAAAATTGAGAATTCAATTCATCCTTCCCATAACGGCGGCGCCATTTCCAGGTGACCATGGGCGCTTCCCGATCGGACCGGCTGCTGGCTCTGGCCCAACAGCTCCACCTCTACGAGCCGCCAGCTGCATCGCCCGATGAAATCGAGGAGCAAGCCATGGAGGAAACTGCCGGCAAGGTGATTGCCCAGGTGGGTTTTCAAGAGTCGGCTACCCCGATAGCGAATCGACCCGATAGGTTCAGACCCAAAAGAGCGGCGGTTCTGGTCTGCATCTTTGAAGGCGATTCCGGCGAGCTTCGTGTCATCTTGACCAAGCGGTCCACGAGATTGTCCACTCACTCTGGTAAGTTCAACTTCAAGTTGTCTACTCGCTTTGTGCTCTCTGGCACTTGATGGAGAGAGGGGGAAAATTCGATTTCTTGATTGGTTTGTCTGGCTTTTTTCGACATTGGTGGTTTCAGCCCTTAATGCAGATCTTTGCTGTAACTTGAGCTCTCCTATGCCTAATTGTCCTACTATTCCGTTTTCCCAGTCAAGAACTGTTTAGAATTCCTGATTTTCATGGTTACATAAGAAAGAATCCAAGTGAAGTGGGTACTCCATATAGCTTGTGAGTTAATGTTAGGTGATTTGATATGCATTTGTGTTGCTTGTAGGTGAAGTTTCATTCCCTGGTGGGAAAGCTGACGAGGGTGACAAGGATGATGCAGACACGGCAACAAGGGAAGCTAAAGAGGAAATTGGGCTGGATCCTTCTCTGGTTGATGTTATTACAGTTCTGGAACCCTTCTTATCTAAGGTAATGGGAAGAAAACTGATGGCTTATCATCTCTGATGGGGAGATAATTGCTTAGCTTTGACAATTGACATAGACATAGACACAGACAGAGAATTGCTTTGCTTTAACTTCAGTTAAGCTCAAATGAACACAACCTGTTCAATGATTCATTGAGTAGGGAGCTTTATCAGTTGTTTGCTGGCATTTCTCTGTGCTTCTGCAGCATCTCCTTAGAGTAGTTCCTGTCGTAGGGATTCTAAGATACAAGGAAGCGTTCAGCGCTGAACCAAATCCAGCCGAAGTCGATGCAGTATTCGATGCTCCTTTGGAAATGTTCATCAAGGTCTCTTAACTTCTCCCCTCAACTTTAACTATACTCACTGCCATTGATGCTTTTCCTAAAAAGCTTAATGTTTCAGAACCTGGGTTTTTCTTATTTCAGGATGAACATCGGAGGGTAGAAGAGAGAGAGTGGATGGGGGAGAAGTATCTGGTGCATTTCTTTGATTATGAAACAGGGGGCAATAAGTATGTGATAACGGGACTAACTGCTGGGGTTCTGATCAAAGCTGCATCAGTGGTCTACCAGCGGCCTCCAGCTTTCTTGGAGCAGAATCCCAAGTTCAGGTTCCCTCGCCATGTAAACATCGGTACTGTTATGCCGCATTGATATCGTTCATGCTCGATATATATCCGTCTGAATTCTTGTATCATGACACATTAACATCGATCATCGTAAGGATAAGGATCTTAACAAGAAATTAGATTCACTTGCTTCCCAAGAGTTTTTATTTCTGTTCTGCAATTTTCTAGACAAGTCAAATTATTGCAGTCTCTAAGTTCTAGGCTCTAGCTAAGGACCACCAAAGAAAATAAGGCGTCCAATTCCAGGCCCAGCAGCTAATCCCTCATCTATCACCTGGTATCTTTTGCTGCTCTGATAAGTTTCGCACGAGGGTGGATCGTGATCGATTTCATGGTTTTCGTTGATGAGATTCACTTGCCTGCCATAACAATCACTATACAGCTTCTGCTGCAGCTTCTGTCCAGCACCCATTGGTGGTGGATCGGTGCCTGGAGGACTGTAAACTTCTCCTCCCCATTCTACGTAGTTTGCAGAATCCGCCAGCGCTGTGAATATCTTCTGCGGCCAGGATCCCACAGTTATGTTCGTTCTCCCGATCACCAAAAACCAGTCTCCATTTGCAGCATCCTGTCAAGAACAGATTTAATGCATCAATGTGACTAATGATATATCAAAAGAATAACCAAATTGTGAAAATAAAAATAGAATATTTTGTACCTTGCGTACAAAGAATTTCTGCTCATACAATGGCCCTCCGATCTGAGTATAGGGTTTGAGAAGCAAATCTATAGGCACTTCAGTGGTGCTGATTATGAAACCAGGGCAGTAGGTGTTATAACAATACGAGTCCTTTGTCTGAATCAAAGAGAAAGAAAATCAGCAGCACTTCAGTGGAATGGTGAATTATCCCAGCCCTAGAACAATTTGTAAATCTTCTTGGTTCTGTGCAGACAGTAAAGACTATTACCGTTGTGTATATGAACATTCGAGTTTCGTTATCCGGATATAGACTTGGATTGACCTATACATCAGAAAGGGTAACACATTGAATCGTTGAAACATTTCTGAGTTTCATTATCAAGATTGTCATGTTAGCCAATGTATGTTACCAAAACATCAATGAATGTTTAGGTTGCGGATACTTACCGTCCATCCAACAGAAATACTATCGGGACCATTTTCAACTTTAACATGACTAGAACTATATTGTGTACTTTGAACTGCAGGATGGTACACAGCTACATCCATTCCACCTCCATAGTACTTGTTTTGTTGTGTTGTTCTGAGCATGGCGACCTGTCAAACAAAGAACAAAAGTACGAAGAGGGGTTACACTTTGGAGAGAGGTGGGGGGGAGTTTCAAACTTTTTGCTTCTTTGTGAGTTGAATTAGATTTTCCTATAAATTTTATATAAGAATGAGTTCATGGCTAATCAACTCACTTCAACACCTGGATTCAGATCGAGCGAAATGTTGTATCTCAATTCAGCGGCCCTATTTGCTTTGATGATGTCTTGTTTTGTGATTCTTCTAATTGGAACCGTATTAGATGGACATCCTTTCCCATTTGACCAGATGTCAAATATGTCCGTATCATATGTATCCGCATTTGTCCTTCTATTTAATTCGTGATTATAAGAGCTCATCTGCATAAGAATTAAAGAGTAATTATGAACAAATTATTTACAAGATGATGTAAAGTATATATATAATCTAAAAAAAAATTAGGTTGCTTTCGAAATGTTCATTTCATACCTTAAATTCATACTTATGATCCTTTAACAAAAGATGATCAAAGGCTGGTTGTTGATAAAAGTCCACACAATCGTACAAATCGCCATATTTTGTCTGTTTGGAAGAGTTTTGTATCAAATAGAAAATAAAATTAAGCATTAAAATGTACTTTAAAATGTTCTCTATTGAGTAAGAAGTACCTCCTCGTCATTTAACTAACAGTATTAGAACCGCATGACACTTTATATACAAAATTTTATACATAATTTTGGACTAAATCATAGATGAAATAGATGAGAAGTTTAATTACAACATACCTTAGATTTATGCAAAGATCATTAGAATTTTACGAAATTTACTTACCTGGATAGTTGTCACGGCCGGCTTGTTTAGAAGTTTTAATTGTCTTTCCAATTCTGAATCTTCTTCTGTTGATAATCTGTGGCTTCTTATTACATAATGGTTCGATGCCATAAACCAACCCAACAGGAAAAAAATTAAAGCATTCCTTAGGGCCATGATTTCACCTGTACAAAGACAGAAGGACCTCTCCATAAGGGAATGCATGTTTAATGATTTTAGACTATTAAGTTAAATCTTGCATAGAGTTAATACGCATATTTATTAGCTAACTATAGAATAATATTCATTTTTATACATTTTAGAAAAGGAAAATTGGACATAATCATGTGTCACACTACGGTGGGTACAATTTATATAACCTTCATAATTATTGAAAAAAACTTTTATATTGTCGTGATATAATTATGTATCAATAAGGTGCATAATCCGTGAGAATAATGTCGATGGGTATGAAATTGTTTTGATCCAAAATTTTCTAAAATAAATATAGTCTAAAAGAACATAATTATATAATATTTGGGCCAAAAAAATAAAATTGAAATGAAATGAAAAAGGCACAAACTCTTCAAAATTAGTTTGATTTTTTTTGTTTTTTATACGAAATTAGTGCGAGGTTGAACCTTCTGATTATTGATTATGAATATTCAACCTAAAATGTGATACGCCGTTGTAAAAAAAAAGTGATACACTGATGAGATATTTGGAATCAAATATGAACTATATATGAAAATAATACATAAGAAACAACTCAAAATTCTCCGAAATTACACACCTTTGAACTCCCTTTGCATGCAAATGAAAGATTCGCGTCTCAAAACTTATAAATAAAAGATATTGGTGTAGCTTCAGAGTCAGTCCTTGATATATATAATATTTGGCGAAAGAAAAAATAAGCAACATAATAAATTTTTTGTTAACTTTTATTGACTGGATATACAAAGAAATTCCAAGAAATACAGAATCTAAAATTAATTATGTGCCCATAATATTGAATGAAAATATGGCAATGAAACTAATAGTTATGGCAATAAAATTAATGTTTTCACATATAGATATGTTTCTAAAGAAGTTAATCATTTGGGCATGTCTATGGTGACTTGCAAGTCACTATAATTTGAAGAAAATGGTGGATATCTTCGAATGAAAATATGGCAATGAAACTAATAGTTATGGCAATAAAATTAATGTTTTCACATATAGATATGTTTCCAAAGAAGTTAATCATTTGGGCATGTCTATAGTGACTTGCAAGTCACTGTAATTTGAAGAAAATGGTGGACATCTTCCATCAAGTGGTCTACCACTTGAGTCATTTGACCTACCACTTCCGGAAATCGGTCGACCTGATGACACACTTACCTTCAAGTGGTTGCTCTCTTCCACCAAGTGGTCTATCACTTGAGTCACTTCCGGAAATGGGTCGACCTGATGACACAAGTACCTTTAAGTGGTCGACCTCTTCCACTAAGTGGTCAACCACTTTTCAAGAAAAAGGTTTACCACTTCAATTAAGCAGTCTACCACTTGAGACAACCGATCTACCGCTTTTGTCAACGTTTGACACACTTACCTTCAACTTACACCTGCTTGTTGGAGGAGTTAGACCGCTTCCGTCAAAACAACCTACTGATTCCGCAAAATGGTTTACGTATCTATTTCGGCGAATGATCTCCGCTTTCTACGAACAGTCGACCATATGACACAGTTACCTTATACTTACATTAGGAAAATAATGGTACAATAGGAGACCAACAATATAAAATTATTTTGTAGTAACACAACATCCTATCACCTATGGGCATTCAAATCACTATGCAGATTATAGGCCAAGACAAAAGAGACACCCTCTTTTCACCTTTTCAGAATAAAAATCCACAAAAGCAATGATACAAGATTTATGGACGCTGAAGATGATACAATTGTATAACAAATAGGTTTAATTCACCTACATAGCCATAACTTTCACGATTTTAACAAATATAGCCACTTTTTGAAAAATACACAGATATAGCCACTTTTTTAAACTTGATTGAAAACTTTAGCCATTTCCATTACAAATTATAACGTTGTCATAGACGCCGTCAATAACATCTACGTGTCGCTGAGGTGGATGACACTTGCATGACACGTCATCACCAACTAGCCATATTCATGCCACCTAGACGCCATGTCATACGCCACGTCATATTAAAAGTATATTTTTTAAACAAAAAATAATTAATTTTACTAAAAAAATAAAAAATATATTTTATTTTTATTTTTATTTCCTCTTTCTCTCTCTATTCATTCATCCCTTCCCCAAATCCCTTCCCACTACGTGGCTTGTCTTCCCAAATTCCCATCCCCCTTCTTCACCAGATCCAAGTTCATGATTCCTCCCTTCAAACCCTTTCTTTTCCCATCAATTATCCTGGGCTCTTTCACACTAGTAGCGGCAGGATTGAGATATCCTAGGCTCCTCCGCTACCGATGCTGTCGAATCCCGACCATGAATGAGAATGACCCTGCTCGCTCTGGATCGTCGAAGCACCCACCCCTCCCTCCGCACCCACAGCTCCGTCGCCAACCTGAAGTGCAGATCTGGAGATAGGCTCCCCCTCACTGCCAATTGTCACTCCTTCCCACCAGCCTGCCACTATAATAACGAACCCAGTTTCCCCATAAAACCCAATACCAACGACATTGGAATCTTAACGAACAAAAAATCGATGTTGGTGTGGGGATGTTGTGGAACCCAGAAACCTAGAACCCACCAAGCTTCACCGCAACCCAAAATTCAAAAACTCAAACCCTCCATCTCTTCCAGCCGACAATTTCAATTTCTTATAGTTTATTGGCAGATATCTAACGCCCCTCCCCTGTCTAATTTGGCACCTGTGAGTTGGGAAAATCAATTCTATCTAAGCTCAACGTATTCCGTCCTTCACTCCTCCCTCCCACTGTCGGCGCCACAAACCTCTCTCTCTCCCTGTTAAATGGGTTTCTCTTTCCTGTAATATTGGCCGGATTCAAGAACCCCAGCTCTCGTCGTCCAGATCCTTGTCGTCACGGAACACAGTTTGCCCGCGTCGAGTCCTCTGGCTTGCTTGCTTCTGGTCGGCGACAGAGCTGGTGGATGCGACTGAAGAATTGGCAGCGGCGAGAGAAGAAGAGGAAGGGGAAGAAGTCTACAGGTCTTCAATGGAACTATTGATGGTGAAAATTCAAACGATTTGGGATTTTTCAAGACAATCTGGTTTCTTGAATCAATTGAGGGAGGAGAGCTTGAAGACACGGCGGAATAGAGGTGGGATATTGAGAGTTGCGAGGAAAAGGAAGAGGAAAAGCATAAGCGACGGAAGGGAATAGTAGTTTTTAGGAATTTTCAATTAATTAAAAATAATAATTTACATCTAGGCATAGTTTTTTATGAACAATCGCCATGTCAGCATTTATTACTATTCCGTTAAAGTTATAGACAGAATGGCTATATCTGTGTATTTTTCAAAAAGTGGCTATATTTGTCAAAATCGTGAAAGTTATGGCTATGCAGGTGAATTAAACCTAACAAATATACACTACTTTTTGAGCATCTTCATAACAACAATAGCAACAAAGTTGATCCATCACAAGACAACTATAGGATAGAAACAAGAAAACTTAGAATTTGGAAGAAAGATGAAAGTCTCTATAAAGTAAGTCAAATATAAGAAATAAATATGCGAAACATTTTTCAAATTTACGAGAGAACAATCACTCGAGAAACTTGTCATATATGCTTGCAACCTTTGTACTCATTTTAAATCTCTTACTAGCAATCAAGCATATCTATTGTTATTGGACTCTAATTATATATGATGATACCACTAGTAATTGTTCATCAAGTGGACCAATTATTGAAAGAGGTGGACCGCTTGGAAAAAGAGGTAGACCACTTGATGGAAGTGGCCATTTTTTTTATACTGGACGACCTTTTAGCGGAAGAGGTTGGTCGTTTGTTGAACATAGCAAAATGAAAAATAATACATCTGGTCAACCATTTCATCAATGAGGGCGACCATTTTGTCTAAATAGGTCGACCACATCAGTAACGTTTTGTCCAGGTCAAAGTCCTAGTAATTTTCCTTATCTAAAAAAAATCCTTAAAAGAATAATTTTCCTTAATAAGTACCACCGTGATTTGACTACTTATTTACGTATTGTTGGGCTCACTATGAAGGAATGTCATATCACATACCACAAAGGACATGGGTGTTAGGCCCAACACGAAATTATCCATGTCGTGGGCCCTAAAGTAACAATGAGGCGCAAGCGCCTGTGGTCAAATGGGGCATGTTGTATGCATCAAGAACAGAGAATTACATCATATAACACTAGATTATGGCCCGGCCTTTTGGCCGGGAGAGTTTGATTCTCATGTTGTCATGTATAAGTGTATGTATATATTTTTGTTATGGTTCATGTTGTTGGGGTTTGAAGTAACTATTTAGTTTGGTAAGTTCTTCATTAATAATATAGGAAAGTATTTGATGTATTTGACTAACGAAGTTTTAAAAAATGACGAACAACGTCTAACTACACTAACATAAATACATATTTTCAAACAAAGTCGTATTGATATAAAAACGTCTAAGAAAAAAAATGGTAAGAGTTGTTTTACATCATACATGCATAAACAATCTTCAGTATACGATAAAATGTTTCGACTTTTCCACTGACTTTAGTGTATTCAATGACATAATGGAACAAAGTATATGTTTAGAGTGTCCTTAATAAGAAAAAAACTAAATCACACACTCATGTTTCGAGTGACATTTCATATAGAAGTCACTGTGACATTAATGTAGTCGAAGCATGCAGATCTCCAACTGGCAAGTTCAACTAATAGAGCAACACATAAAAAGTTAAATCAAACTGAAAAGAATGCGAAAACTAAAAACAACATACCTAATATTTTGGGGGAAATCGACAACAATAAAAGTCATTGTAGCTCGTACTCAAGTGAGAAGACTTTGATTTAACAGTAGGTAAACAATGATATGTAGTGCTTAAGCCTTAAGAGGGAAGATGACACCTTACATTCTTTATCAATATGCATCTTAGTTTCATGTTTCTAAAAAAAATGCATCTTCGTTATAAACTTCAAAAAAAAAAGGTAGTAATTCAATAATTAATATGAGAATCAATATGGACACAATATCTAATCAAGAGAAGAGGAAGCGAAAAAAACACAAATTGTTGTGTATAGATTTTGCTCACGATATTTCATATCATAAAAATTATTAACTGATAAAAGGGAAAGATAAAGGAGAAAATGCATCAATTTGATCCTAAAATGAGAGGAACTAATATCCTACACCATCATACAATAATGATATATTATATCCCAAAAAATCATTAAAAAATATATCTAAATGAAAAAGTATACTAAATTGAATCCAATGTAAAAGTAACGATGAAGATATATATTATATCTACCTAAAGAATAATAAAGTAAGTCGTGTTTCTTAGAGATATAACCACTCTATGATAAAAACCATTTCGTCAAACAATTGTATCATATGAGTTTTAACTTAAAAATTTAAGTGCTTATAATTAACTATATATTTCAACTCATAAATGAATTAATTATACCATTTTGTATAAAAAATATTATTAACTTGAGAGTTATTTTGCTTGTTGTTAAATCATTTGAAATGAAGTATGAAAGTGCTTCAGAACTGCTACTTCATTCCTCATTATTAAAAATTACTATTTTTATTACAACGTCTAAGCGTGTCTAGGCGAGCTAGGAGATAGAAAAATGCCCAATGACCACCTTACGATTAACATGTTGTTGAACCTCAATAATTATA